TCTACATCTATCAGACTTCAGGAACATTGAACTGTTTCAACTTGTCCATTTCATTTCTTCCCTATCCTCGCCTCGCCCTAAAGTAAAGGTAACTTAACTTGGTTTTGACTACAAGTATAGTTAACACCTGAACTAGTCTCCTTTTCAAATGAGTACCTGGTCCCACATATTGATAACGTTTCTTTTGTGACAACGAGAAGGATGGAATTCTATTCACAACTTGCTGATCTAATTTTAAATATCGATTTTGCCTCCTTTTTGTGCTCCTCGTCTTTGTCGTGTCCTCCTTTTCTTCTTTTTGGAAGTGGGTCGATTAGAATTCTTCATATTCTTCGTCTAATTTTCGTCGTAATAGTTTCTGCAGAACAGACTCTTCCCTTTCTTTCGACCACTCCAATTCTGTTTGCATTTAGCACCTCTTAGAGGTTCTTTACCTTTTCGGGTGACGGTTTCCTCTTTTATATTCTTGCAAGTACTCTGCATTCGTCGCGAAATCGTTACCAACTCGTAAGCAGAACTGGGTGTGGCCCTTTCTTCTTAATTATCACAGGTATTTTAGATGTACCCGTTGATTTCCTAATAGGTATACCAGAAGTTCCAGGTGTCGCTGGAGTTTTCTTTATACCCGATTAACCGGGTGTTGCATCCACCTCATTTTCTTCTTCTTTTTCTTTTGTTTCTTTCAAATGTTCGGTCAATCGTCACTTTTGAAATAATAATTCCTTGGTTTTCGTATTGGCAATGAAATCTCGTACATTTTTGTCTCCCGGAAGAACGTGTGCTTCGGCCGCCACACGTCCCGCCTCATTGAGTAACGCGCCGTTCGAAATGTAACCCTCGTAATATTGAACGAGTCGATTAACCTCTTCCATTTTTACCATCATGTATTCCTGTGCCATCGACTTCGTCTCTGTTTCGTTTGCTATCGTCACACTGGATTTTATGGGGCAACTTCTAATATTTCGCCGATTCGTCCGCATATGCTTGGCGTGTTTTCCTAAGTTCCGTACGTGAGCCAGCGAAAGTAGTTTATCGTTAAACCCCGAACAAATCTCGACGGTTTCACCGTCGCCTAGATCATCCCAACATCTACGACAAAATATTCTTCTTTCTAGACATCGACCTCTTTTTTCCATCTGTTTCGACTCTTCTCCATTCTACAACTGTTTTCTTTCCATTCTTCGACAGACTCGTTAGCTTTCGTCAATAATTACGTCAAAGCACTGACAGACATGATTTCTTCTTCTTCTTCTTCTCTAACCGTCTAAAACAATTAATTGCAGTAAGCTTCGTGGAGTCCTTACAAAAAGCCAGAACCTTTCTGAATCATCAGATGTGCTCTTCTCCTCTTTACAGATTTTTTCTCTTAATTAGTTCTTTGATGACTGTTTTATGTCCTCTCAGTTTTGCTATGAGTGATAATGGGACCCCACTTTTCAATACTAAAAGGGGCCGAGCAATTCAATCCAATACAAGAAATCTCATTTTGAAGAACATCCAGGAATCTTTTAATGATCAAATATTTTCCTCAAATCACACAACTCCCATTGCCTTATGGGAAAGCATTTGATTAAAAAAAACTACTCCAAAAACAATAAATGTAATGAATGGCCCACAAGCAGTTTGATTACTTCGTGCATACATATATCTTGTTGAACGTTTTGGTCTGCTTATTGCTGAGTATTTTGACGAGCCGGGCGAGTCAAAATCCAAAAAAAATTTAAAAAATACTCAGCAATACTGCACATGTAAGCATCTTATAAGCTATGTATTATCCAACTGCTTTATTTCATATGCAGATCTTATAGGGCAGGCAGAGCAAAGCAAATAGAGAAGCTGTTTGAGACAAGTCTTACGCTATATTTGCATCGGATAGCTCATGAGATGAAATGGTTACACTGGACAAAATGAACAAACTAGCAGAATTGGTTCAATTAAGAAAAACTCTCAAGTTAGCAGAAATGATTCAAGTGCACAAAATACACAAACTAGATGAATTCAATCGACTGGTTAAAACGGTCAAATTAGCTGAAACGATTCTAGTGGACCGAAGGCACAAATCAAATGTTTTAAATGGACAAAATCCAACAACTTGCTGAATTCCTTCAGCTCGTTAAAATGGTCAAATTAGCTAAAACAGTTAAATTGAACAAAAAGCGCAAATTAGGTGAATTAGGTGAAAGAGCCAGGTTCCCGGTATACCTACCAGTACAATTGTGATCCGCGAGCAGTTGTCCATATCCTGGCCGCAAACGAAGATTTCAAAGGACGCGTTCACACACTGTCCGATCCCTACTGTGAAGTTATTCGGCTGATCAATATCGACTATAATGTTATCGTGGTCCACAAAGGGCATCACGGGTCGACAACAGAACGGCGTTTCATCGAACAAGCCATACAGGATAGCGTATGAGCCAACGACACCCCGGCAGCCTCAGTACTTTATAGAATTACTCTAAAACGTCTAACCGAGAATGAGGTTGCCACACGGTGATGTCATCTAATTCTTCGACAAATTTGTGTACTTCGTGTCGATAGCCACTTGACTAGAAGTCACAGTTTCGTCATTACTTTCCTCGCTACCTTCAAAGTCCACCCTGCGTGACTTTCATCGCACGGCTTTTGCATTTTCTATTTCACTGCATTGTTACGGTAATAAAAAAGGGTGCTACGTTCTTTATTCCTAGATAAAGATGAAATTGAACTAGTACGCTGAGCCTGAAAATAAGGATGTATTTTTCTTGAGGTAGGAATAAGTGTTCGTGTAGGTTAACAATTAACCAAAGTATCTCTCACCAGACACCGAAATGGCTTGCATCAGATGGCCTTAATATAGCAGCAAAGTGTGATCGTAAATAATATACATGTACCCACGTGAAAAAGTGGGGTATGTTATTCAATTTTACTCGTATACTGCACTGAATAGAGTACGACATTTAAGCTTGACATTTTCATAAATTCTCGTACCTAATATGAAAGGAAGTTCGCTAAGACTCTACCATTCATACAAAGTGAGGAGAATACTGTTTCCGCAATCATGATATGACACAACCACAGAATGCGAAGTCGTAATTTAGCTCAAAAGTACTTCCATAGAACCTACATTTTCCATCTCAAAATACGTTTGAATATTTATTGGACACATTAAAGGAATTTCGTTAACGTCTCCGCATAACCACAGAACGCGTAATGATGTAATGGTCATTAAATACAAAATGAACACTGATACGTCCGCCGAATCCACAATGTCCACCATAAAAGACATATGAACTCTTACAAGAGCTGATAGCGGCCATCATTCTAAAAAAAACACGCTATTTTACCCTTTTGGCATTTATTATCCCCAACCTCCGCCCTATCCACTTATCTTCAAATAAAAAAAGGTCATAAACACATTATCGTGTTACTGCAAAGAACTTCAAAGCAGTGCTAAGACTTCATCAGAATCCACATTTTCCAACGCAAAATATCATTAAAGTTAAAGAATGATAGAGGCTCTCATAAATAATGAAATCCATATAAACCTGCAAGTGAGTTTCTAAGTAAAAACTTATCAAATAAGAGCAGATTTATCGGATTTTAAGGATGTATCCGAGTTGCTCTTTTATGTACAGAACTTAATAAATCAATGTTTTCTCCCTCCTTTCTACTTTAGATAAGAGTGCATTTATTGGATATTTTGGAATGCACGGAAAAATAAAAAAATTAATAAAGATATAAAATAATCAAAATAATGTCATCATTTTAATAATAGTTTGATTATAATATAATGATAACAATAATATTAATAATAACAATAATTGTTATAATTATAAAAGACTTATTTCAACATTAAAATATTTTTTCTAATTTTTTTATCTAACATTTCCACAAAATCCGTAATATCACCCTAGATCTAAGAAGAGTTTAGGGCTTAGGCTTAATACTGGAAGGTAATATTCTACACTTTTACGATAACTACGTTTGATTTATTGGATGTTTTGGACTTAACGAACACATTAATTCCATTAAATAATTTATTGAATTTCGTCAGCATTTCATTGTTTTTGTTTCATCTCCATCTGTTCATTATCTCGCAATGTGACACTTTCAATAACTTCGTTGGATTTATTGGGTGTTTTGGACTTGACGGAAACTTTCAGTTCTCCTTTCATAAATTCAGCTCACTTATTTTTTTATTGATGGTCGTCAAGATCCCGCCATCTTTTTTTCCATTTCAATTTATTTCTTGCGGTTAGATATCTCGGACTTCATAGATATGAATTATGTTTACGTGAAATACGAGACATGAGCATGTTTTAGTTCTGCTGAAAGTTAAAGGAAAAATACTAGCCCTCTCGGTGATTGTTCCTCTTTGAAGGAACCCTTTGACGAAAACAGTCGAAGTTCAGGCGACGTTTTTTAAGGACGCAACACGGGGGCGAGAAGATAGGTGCTTCATGAAGTTTTTGACCAAAATTTCTCGAAAGTTAAATCTCAAAGCTAAGTTGACCCTTGATTTAAACGTAACCTACAGGAACAAAGAATTTCGGGAAATGGTGAGAGTCACCAGGGTCAGCGGTAGAAATGCTGCATGGACGTGTTCCTTCGATGTCCACAAAATTTATTTCTCGCTATCTTTACTGTATTTGTACATTTTTCTCATCGAAAATCATCTTCAAACAAAAGACTGTATGCATAATGAAGTATGGGGCTGTGCGGAAACTTTGCCCAAGTTACTATGTGAATTCTGTTGCTACATTTAATCATGAATACTTGAGGGTATGCGGGGATATTTCTCCTAATCCTGGACCGAATGAAAATGACAATGCGAACAGTCGTAAATGTCGCTCCTTGAGCCTTGTATCACTCAACTGTCGCAGTCTTTAACCATGCATTGACGAATTGAGTTTAATCTTTAAAGAAGCTAAACCTGGAATTATAGCAATTACTGAAACTTGGTTAGATGATTCGGTAGCAGACCATGAAATTCACATTGCTGGATATAATATCATACGTAAAGATCGTCAATTTCGTCGAGGTGGAGGATGTGCGATTTACTCTGAAGGTATCAAGCTAAAACATCGCAAAGACCTTGAACACAATGAACACGAAGTTCTATGGGGTGAAATCAAAATTCAAAATCTAACATACTTGTTTTACTGAGTGTATAAGGCGCAAAACTGTTCTACAAACGCATTTTTCGCTTATCTAGACGATGTCCTGAGATCTGAATTAAGGCAAGGCAAAGAATTTATTATTACTGGAGACATGAACTGCAATCTTCTCGACGAATCTCTACCACAGACACAGAGAGCTATTGAATTTATGGATGTAAATCAGCTCAGCCAACTTATCAGTAAACCAACAAGGATTTCTTCTGGTTCTGTCTCTTTGATCGATGTAATTATTACCTCAGCTCCACGGCTGTTTTCTAAAACTGGGGTGCTTCGGAATTCATTAAGTGATCATTTTCCTATTTTTGGAGTCATCCCCCGTATGAAACATTACTCAAAACATCGGGTAATTGCTACACCGAAATGGACTGAGGAAAAAGTGCTCTCCTTTCAAAACGATGTCAAAAGCGTCCCTTGAGACGATGTTAAGAGACAATCTAGCAGGTGCAATGGATGGAAAAGTAGAGACATGGTCAGTATTTCACAGGTGCTCTAATCAAACATTTTCCAGTCAAGAAAAAAAGGTTACGGCAAAATACTCATCCATGAATTAATGGCTCTATTCTAAAGCTAATGCGACAACATGATAATTTTCACAAAAAGGCTCATAAAACTGGAGACGACGCTCATTGGTCAACATACAGAATGCTCAGAAATCAAGTAACTTACAATCTGAGGAAGTACCGAAGAGACTATTTTAAGAACAAACTGGAACAAAATAAGAACCCCAAAGGTTTTTGGAAAACTCTCAACTATGTCCTTCCAGGTAGTAAGAAGAAAAAGTCACTTAACATCAATGAAATTGTTTACAGAGACCAAGTGCTTACTGATCCACAGCAAATAAGTAATGCTCTTAATTCTCACTTGACTAGTATTGCTGCCAATACCTTAGCTGAAGCAAATACAAAATGAACATGTAATGATCCTGATGAAGATTACAAGTCTGAATTTAATTTTAGACATCTAAACAATGAAGAAGCGTACAAAGCATTGGTTAATTTAAATCACACTAAAGCTTCAGGTGCTGATAGTATTCCTGCAAATGCTCTCAAAGTTGCTGCTGGGCAAATAGCCTCAAGTCTGGCCTACTTATTTAACCAGTCCTTCCAGCAAGATGTATTCCCAGCATTTTGGAAGACTGCAAAAGTAACAGCCTTACCCAATGGCAAAGACAACACTTTGTGTGATAATTTTCAACCTCCATCTATTTTGCCCTGTCTTTCTAAGGTCATGGAGAAATTTGCAAACAATCAGTTACAAACCCTTGCTTTGTAACACAACCTAATAAGCAGAGAGCAGTTTGCCTACCAAAAGAATTCCTCATGTACTACAGCTCTACTTACTCTTATAGATTAGTGGAAATGGGCCATAGACAAGAAACAGATTAACATTGCTGCATTTTTGGATCTCAAAAAAGCTTTCGACATAATAAACCACAAAATCCTTTTATCAAAGTTTAAAGTTGCTGGTATTGAAGGCCATAGTGGTTTATGGTTAGAAAATTATCTTCTGGATAGGAGGCAATTTGTCACCTTGAATGGTGCACAATCTGAGACTCTTATGTTAGATTATGGTATACCCCAAGGTAGTGTATTGGGTCCAACTTTATTTTCTATGCACTACAACGATATTGTTAAATCGTGTAAAAATGGGGATGCCTCTCTATTTGCTGATGATACCGAAATCCGCACAGCCCATTCCGAACTACAAGTGGCTGCACAACTTTTGAACTCTGATTTAAAAGACATCAATGATTGGCTATCTAACAATGAGATGGTAGTCCACCCTGTTAAATCGGAGGCCATTAAGATTGGAACTAAACAAGCTTTAAAAAAAGCAGGACGGATTAACGAACCGTGCACAACATTAATAGACATGCGTTTGAGTTAGATTACAAAACAACGCCCGAAACCATGAGACACCTCGTGCCATCCATTCATAATGATCACCTTTCAGTGACGGTTTTCTTTCCTTTTTTCTTCTATACGCCTCTTACCTTTGTTGTTAGGGTGCCTATTCTGGTGTTGGGTCAAACCAAAATAGGTCTGTTGTTAAAGAACAAACTGTAGCCTTTGCCTCGCGCATCATATCTAGACCTATCGGTGTGAAGAATGCTCTAACAAAAATTTAACTTAACTATAACCTTGAAATGCTTATATGTAGTTGGTTTCCAATAAGCTTTCAACCCTTCGTGTCAAATTTGGAAGATTTTACAAGTATACATTAACTCCTACTGATGAGTGCACGTAAGAATGCTTCACACTTCTTAATTTTTATCTAATATCAAACAGGGAAGAATGAGAAATGACAGTTTGTTGTTAATCCTGATTTTTTATGGGAAGTGATTAACCAGTGACATAGAAACCCCCTTCCTATAAAGGCTGCCATATTCGTGATGTCCCCTTTGGTCAATTTCTGCTATTTTACTATTTCTGAACTACTTTTACTTAAACACACCAAAAAAACAAACCATTAATCAAGGATATGGAAATACTGCTTTTTATCCCTGAGAAAGACAGAAGGGGCATCAAAGTTTCTAATAATTAGTGGAACTCTTCTGTTGGTCTTGTTATCCCTGTTGAGGAATTGTTGTTCTTGTAAATCTAGAATGTTCTGTTGTTTACCTTGATATACTCAAGTTGTGTGAATAATCATGTTTGCTGATTCATACGTAGGATATTATGGAGTCAGTTATAATATTCTTCAAACCTCAGGTGACCAGTACATTTCTCCTCAGCTAATTTTCACCATTTTAAAATTATTTACACTTTTTACCCTGACGATCATGCTGTAAATCCCAAAATAGAACTATCGCTTCCTGCTCCTGAAATAGACGGATATACCCTAATCCCTTGTGATATGGGTAACTCTTCCGATAAGGCTATAATGTTGCTGGAATCCTTCAAGTTGATGCTTGTCTTATTATTTAATGATTGAAACACTTTAACGAAAGGTGTTTCATTGCCATGTATATTCTTACCCTTTCTCAAGACAATTATATATCACAACCATGGAAACCGGAATATTACTGCCCTTGTTTTATAGGATGTTCAAATCCCATGTAATATGTTCCTCCATCCCGCTTTCTGACGAAGTACTCAATCCCTGCGGACATTCTAACAACCCGCAAACCAAAACAAAAGTCGCTTTTTTCTTCTTGCTTAATGCATTACAGTTTCAATGTCCATTTCGAGACTCATTGTGCAAATAGGGGCTACTTGTGGTTGTCGTTACTCATTGACCTACTTTGGAAAAAGAATCATATGGAGGGCAAAACTCACACCTAACACCCAAGTAACAACTAACAACTAACAATTAGCCAAACTGCCCTGTGTCAGCCCAAATGACGCAAGGGAACAAGTACAGAAGCGAGGTTAGTTTGTTTTAATTCAAATAACTTCAGATTTTTATGTTAAGAATGCAACCGCTCATTCCCAATACAAATGCCTTATTTTGTCTCCGCTACACAACAAATAACACAGTAGTGTACACCAAATAAGTTTATTTAGGGAAGCCTGCCGAGAACCAACCCGAGGCATATATAGTCCGGGGAATGCATACATACATACATATATTCGCAACTGATATACCATATACAATCCTGATATACAGTCAATTCCTTACACATTAAAAAAAAAGGTATACATTACTAACATGCAAACTTCACCAAGTCTGGATTAACAGAGATGAGCAACCATTTACAAGGACATAACTACGGTTATACAGAGGCCAGAAAAAACCTGCCAGAAAAAACCCCTTTGGGAAAAAAAAAACATGACAGGAAATCTGGGTAGGAACCATGGCCCAAACTCAGAGCAGTTGGCAGCCCATCCTACGAGGCTTCACAGCTAAAGAAAATATGTTTTCAAACTAAAATAAATTTGTCATCAGCCAGAGGTGAACGGTTGGTTCTGAGGCCTAGATGGACACCACGTGCTATACTTTCCCTTATATACCACTGCATCATTACCCATGATACTCGGGCCTAAGGCCCAGGCCTTGTCGTATCTCGTGCCGACAAAATATTTATTTCTGCCTTATTCGCAGACTCATTCGTCAGAAATACCATTGTTCCGCACATTGCGTAACCTAGACATACTGAGGCGAGCACTGCCTTTGCGGTACCTAAATGTAGTTTGCAAGCTAAGCGACTGACTCAATTCTTCTGATTGGTCGCTTTTGTTGGCGACTTTTTAAGAAATTTGGAACCTTTCCTCCCTGAACACAATCCTGGTGTGTTTTCCATGACAATTCTAACCCCACTCATCTTACTGAAGTTGTATCATTTTGTTTTTTACCTTGGAACAACTTTAAAACTATGGCCTCTGGAATGCTAACACAATTAAGATACGCAGCTTGCGGAAAAAGTGTACGATTTAAACTTCAATACCTCATAATATCTTATCTTATTTTCAGTATGACTTACTAACGTGAAATACTGTGGAGAACAATGTCCTTTAATTAGTAAAACCGCTTACTGGATGAAGACGCTTTCGGGCAAAAACGTGGTGAGATGGAATACGAAGAATGTTTAAGGAAGCTGAAGTGGCCTGCACTCGAAACACGCCGACTATTTCGCTCTTTAGCTGAATGTTATGATAGTTTTGATGACTTGAACAAACCAAACTTTGACAATCTATTTGAATTTACTAAGTGTCACTCAATCCACGCCAACTACCCTTATAAGCTGTACGTTAAGCCAGCAAAGTGTAATCCCTATAAATATTCCTTTTTTATTCGAATTGTACAAGACTGGAATAGCCTACCAGGATCCATCGTCGAGGCTGGGAGCCTGAGCCGCTTTAAGAGTGCCCTGATGCACTTTTTAAATATCCATTAGCTGCTTGTCTTTTTTGTCAAATTTATCTCTTGTAAATAGTTTTAAACCTTTTTAGTTATCCAATTTATCTCTTGTAAATAGTTTTTGAATCTTTTTTTTGTACATAGCTTATGAGCCTTTTATTGTACGTAGCTGAATTAGTTCTTGAATCTCTCGTTGTACCTACCTTATGATGTGTTACCTCTTATTTAATGAAACATCATGGGGTCAACCTACTGTTTTCCTTTCCAAGATGTTTTATTACTTTTGTTTTTTTTTTCATACTGACTAAATGCGTTGTTATGTTATGACGCTGTGAAGCATGCTTTGATCTTTTTTCGCATTGTTATCCATTCAAAGTTATCCTCCGAAAAGTGCTGCGTTGTTAGTCTTACTTCGACTTTCCGATACTGCACTCAGAAATTCAATACATTTTAATCTTATTCCTTCCGCAGACAGGAAATAAAGTAGCCACAAGCCTTTAACATAAATATAGACTTTGCTGAGTCACATTCCTGAAAGTTACCAAGCTTTGATTGGTTAAACCAACAAATTAAACAAGAGCACCCAAAAAGTGCATATGGTCACTAATCGTTATGGGTGAACACACAAGGTTAACCTTTCCCGCAGGTTGTTGTCTCTCTGGGTCTGTAGTCTACCTTTTTCCTTGAAATGTGGTAATTGATGGGACAATATAAATCATTTTAAAAATTCGTGTTGTAATGGTAAAAGTAGTCTCCTTAGCAGCCGTTGTTTGGTCTCGTCACGCAACGCGCTCTCTCGGGGAGATAGCACGTTGCATGACGAGACCAATGAACAGTTGCGAAGGAGAACTGAAAGAACTCCAAAAGATTTTGATAAGTTTTCGGTCTCACTTTGAAAGTTTGTCAGAAAGTTTCTGAAAAGTCACAGGAAGATACAAAATGATCGAAACCATCCGCACCACAGGTAGTCTTCAAAGTCCGTCTGTGTAAAATTTCCGTAAGCAAATGTTTCCAAATTTGGACGCTGCGATTTAACTGCGTCTTCGCCTGGTCAACCCAAACTCCGGTTTTTTCCCTTCGTACATCGCTGTTGCTTAATTGCAACCGCGTGATCTTTTTTACAGGGTTTCACCCTGCTTGAAATTGGAAGCAAACCTCTCAGTCTTCTACCTCAGAGGCGGAATGCATTTTTGAGACCACAATTTAACTCTTGTCTGCAGAAGTGTTTAATCACTGATAACTAAGATAATTAAATTAAATCAAACAGATGATGACCCTCAGCTGTTCCCACGACTCCTGTTTCACATCAGATCGTAAGCGATGCCGCAATCCTCAAAGCTTACTAGAAAGCATGAAAAAAACAAAACAACACAAAAAAACGGCTAGGTGTTGAAATTCTACACACGTTGGTTTATATATAAGTTTAGGCACTGAAATATAAAGTAGGCACTGACGGAGGGAAAATCTCAGTTTATTGTTTAGCAAATCAATCATGACTTCTCCCTGCAGAAGTGTTCTTGGAAAAGACGCCATACTGAAAGAAAAAAAAAGAAACGTAAACTTTAATTGTCAGGTGACAAACCTTGTTGAGGGTGAAGGGCGCAAAGGAGAAGCGAACAGTAAATCATTATCATCTCCTGCTTATCACTCATAATCACCTATGAAAAGAATATATCAGTGACAAAACAAGTACAAGGCTTTTGGATTTTCTTCCGCTTACCGGAGGCTCTATAAATGAGGATAGATGGCAGACGGCGGAGGACGGAAAAAAAAAATTTAAAAAAACAATGAATGAATAAATCACTTTATTTTCTAGCAAGGTAGTCATGAGGTGAATGCGAGCGTTCTGATTGGTTTTCAATCGGTCGGGATTTTGCCATATGGACCGTTTCCACAGAAACGGTCATAAACCACTTTGCAACTGAAAGTGCGAAAAGGAAACCCGTAAATATTCTCACACTTTGTTAAAAAAAAAAAATTATTAAACAAGTCACCAAACGACTGATTACAATCATGGAAGACGAAAAAAGTGTATCATTCAAAATATAATTTTTATTATGATCTGGAAACCTCTGAAACAAGGAGAGGCGAAAGCCAGGAAAGTATTTACGACTTTGCCTTGCTAAAAAAAGCGTATCATTTGACTTCAGTATTTAAGCGGAAGAATGACAAGATTTACACACACCATTGCTGCAAACGAATGAGCAGACTCTCACAACTTCAAAACATGCATTTGAATTTGCTTACAATTTGACTTTCGTTGACATTTAAAGCTGGACAGAGGCAATTCTTTGTTGAATAATCGTCGATGGAAGAGAATAATACTTTCCGTAAGAAAAATTTTAAAAAAAGTCGTCGTTATAGTCAGTTAACTCAAATTTGCTTGCCAAGCCAGTCACTGTTGCTTTTTTCAAAGTGTACGTGGGCTTCTTTTTATTACGCACTTTCTGATAAACAGGTGTCAGATCATGACGAATACTTCAAGTATAAAAAAATGTTTCAAAGTTTGCTTGAAATCTTTTAACTCAATTTTATCATTACCCATTAAAGAATGTTGCGGTGGGGACTCTCATTTTAAATTCGCATTACCTCTGCCTTCTGTACCATCTACTCGCTCAAAAATGGTTCTATTTATGGAGGATCTTGCCGTTATTAGAGCTCTAAATCATGACGGTTCTTTTGGAAAACATTTCGTTTAGGTTTAGGAAAAAAAGGTTGCTAAAGAAAGACATAGTTAAAGATATAATTAAGTGACCGTACCGTAAATGAAATGAAACATTGTTGCAATTTTCAAACTTCCCATATTATCCGACGATTAACTATCCGTCTAGTAGCACAGTAAAAATCAAATTTCTATCCTCTTCTGTCCTCAATGAGTTATCAGATATATAGATGCAGTGAGGGTCCAACCCTCGGCAGATTTACGACCTCCACTGCAATATCCTACAAGCTGTATAAGGTCCACTATTAGAGGAGTAATTAGCAGCATAATCTCACCTCAAAAGTTAACGATTGCTCGAATGCTGAAAAAAGAAAAATAATCATTAATGGAAAATTAAGGGATCATTTCCTGATTCAGTGCATGCATAGGCTTTAAATAGGACCAAATTTTCTGTCATTAGTCCTGCGTTCGCGGTCAATGGGTTATAACAGTTTAATTTATCTTGACGATAGTTCGGAGGGTCGCCAAAAATTGTAGTCTCTGTCAGTCATACCAGCAAAGGCTTCGCACAATCTCTTTTAACTACGGGGCTTACTCACATTTGCGTCAGGAAAAATACGGGTATCCTCTGTTGTGTATGGCACAAAGCGGACCATTTTATTCATTGTTATCTACTATAGCTATTTATCATCTGTAGTCTATTTGGCTTAGGAGTCCTGACAAGGGAAGTAAGCCGTGTCTGGCCTGTCCCAGATTTCCCTCCTTTTTCCTGCGGGATTTGGGCAGTTTTTTTTTTCTGGCCACCCTGACTTGCTTACTAGTTTTTAGGACATTCTGTTTTTCAGCCAAGATAACCGTTATCTTCCACTTGTTGTGAACAAATTAGATTAAAGGAGATTATCGGAGCCCGCAATCCGATGTTCTCCTAACTTATTTTGTCTTGTTTTTTATTACGTATTCTTCGAATTAAGTGCAGAATGTAATAAAATGACTGAAAAACACAAAGTAATGGAGAATGTTCTTAACTAAATCTAATCCCATCGCTCCTTTTCCTTTCTTCCCTTTCACTGTGCAATTTTTTTTTTTACTTAATCAATTAAAAAGTAATTCCCTTAGCAATATCAATATAACAAATATTCACCGAAGTGGAGGTGGGAGTGGGAATATTGTTTCTAATACACCCACCTTTTCCCATCATGCATAAGGTCAAACGCCTCGTTGATCTTGTCCAATGGTAGCGTATGGGTGATAAACTCATCCACCTTTAACTTGCGAGCCATATATTCATCCACAAGTTTTGGAACACTGTCACAGCTCTTCCAGCCTGCATGTCAACACAGAATTAAAATGTAATAACCTAGTTCCTTTCAATAATTTCCTGTTATATTACCATCAATTACCAACTGGACAGTTAGTAATAGACAAAGCTTTCATAGAAGGGTTTACACTGGACAGCGTGTGTCAGACAGAATTTTTAAATAATTGAAAAGACTCGAGGTGCAGTGGAGAAGCGGGGGGAAGAAAAAATTGAAATAGATATATAGCGCTTTGTATGTGAAAATAATAAACCTAGAGCTCGGGGAGTTATCACAAGAAAGGACTGAAAATTAACTGAGAAATGAGTTGAGATCAGTTTAATTTCACTTTCCCAATATGAACATGTCAGCTACTTCCCGATACATTCTTTAAGTCCGGCACCCTGGACTCTTTTAAGGTGTAGATAAACTCATGTATTACATCATGCTTCGTTTTAGGTTGCAGAATATTAAGCTAAGCGGCAATAACACATCGCGAATGGCACTTTGATATGTTTGGGTTTGTTTAAATGAGAAAAAAAGTTAAAGAATGCTAACATTTATAAGGAGCCCAAACGAGGAACCGATAATAAACAAAAATGAAGTTTGATTTCAATACATATCATCTCATCAATTGAATATGAAGTAAAATGAAAGTAATGTGTTCAGGAAGAAAGACACGTTTCTACCATTTACTGAATGAGAATCTGAATCAAGTGACAAGTGAGCTGCGAATTTACACATCTAATTGCTTCTGTCGTGAAACAAACTGACTTTTCTGGGCAGCGAATATAGATGATAATTCCTGCACTCTGTTAAAATAGATACCAGAAAAAATTAAAAGTATGATGACCCATGGCCTCCAAACTGACATTACAGTTTTGTTCTACAATGGCTATACAGTCAAGAATAAAATCTCTTCAGGGTTGGGATGACGACCCATGACGACTCAGATCCTTTCCTTATCCCTCATTTGTGACTAAAATGAGGCATTGCTTAACTCAAACAAGAGAAAGGAGGAAATAAATTATTGCACAGCGCACCTCCAAATGCAGTTCCTTTCCATGTTCTTCCTGTCACAAGTTGAAAAGGTCTAGTAGAAATCTCTTTTCCCGCTGCGGCAACTCCAACAATAACGGATGTTCCCCATCCCTTGTGGCATGATTCCAGAGCAGCACGCTTGGTTAAAAACAATAGCTGACTAAGTCTTACAGATACAGGTACCAGTAACTTTATTAAAACAATGACAATTATAATGAATATGAGGCGGTGACCTTATTTGTTACTCTCAAAATACTTATGACTGCAAAGATGATTTTGACATTGGTAATAATTCACCTACAATAGTTAATTCATTATCTCATTTCTTTCATTGCAAATTTTAGTATAGCATTCACTATTTTAAACTTGTATCTGAGTACATTAACATCTTGAATTTTTGAGGGTGTCAACAATTTTTTTCATGAATCCAAGCATTTTCTAGCTTTCTAACATGTCCATTTTCTCAAAGTCTCTAACCATTTTTTTTTTCGAATAATAATAATCTACAGTGAAAATGGTTTCACTAGATAAAATGGTCCAACTGGTGCAAAAAGTCTACCAAGAGAAAAAGGTCCAACTGTTTAAAATGGTTCAACTCAATAAAATGATCTTAACAGATAAAGTCCTTCAGCCACCTTGAATTGTCTTAGTCGATAAAATGGTCTTAGCACTGAAACTGTTTAAAATATAAACACAAAATGGTCCTTCTGGTAGAAATGATCTAATGGGGAAATGGTCCAAATGGTTGAGATGATCCAACCAGTTAGAGTGGTTCAACTGGTTAAAATGGTCCAATCACATGAAGTGGTCCAACTGGTAGTAAATGGTCACACTGGTAAAAATGGTGTTATTGGTTTAAATAACTTTATCAGATAAAAAGGTCTAGCTGCTTTAAATTCCCTTACAAGGAAAACGGTCTTACTAGTCAAAATGGGCTAACTACATAGAATGATTCAACCGGTTAAAGTGGTCCAAAAGGTAAAAACGGTAAAGCTAGAAAAATGGTCCAACTGGTTGAATGGTGTAACTGGTAAAATTGCTCCAACTGGTTAAAATCGTTCAATTGGTGATAATGGTCCAACCAGTTAAAATGATCTACCCAGATGAAATGGTTCAACAGCTTAAAATTGTTCAATTGGTTAAAATTAGGTAACTAGATTAGATGATCCAACTGCTTAAATTGGTCTAACTAGATAAATACGATCCAACTGGTTCAAATGATACATGGGCTAAAAATGTAAAACTACAAAAAATGGTCCGACAACTTGAAATGATCTAACTATGTTAAAATGGCCAACTGATTTAAATGGTCTAACTAGATAAAATGGTCCAAAAGCTGAAGATTACTTCCCACCATCAGAGGCCTTTAAAAGTACCTTTTTTTTAATTTGACTAAACTGAATTCAAACATTCAACCTAACGTTTCCATAAAAAAATAACTGAAATCTTTAAAAGTACCCGAGATATCGAGAAAAACGTATTTCAAATAAAAGTTAAGCTCCACGCTAGCGTCAAGATTTCGAACAAAGAAGTCGCCGTCAAACCAAAACTTGCCAAACTGAAGTTAAAAATGAGGTTTCCTTTTCTTCATGCATGAACCAGTCTTGATACAAAAACATTAAAAATCGCCTCGAATTGTGATTTAGAAAGCTGTCTGTCGGTTCGTTGTCTTGCTCCACAGAACATTTTCCAGTTTTTCCATTTTTGCCGCGGGTTTTGCGTTTGCCTTTGGCAACTTTGCTCATTACTGTGTCGTCCTCTTCAATGCTTCACTAAGCGATCGAGATCTTGATCCATCGTCATTGACGTCCGGAGGTCCCGATGTTCCATTGGTTTTCGGTTTCAGGTTTCAACCTCCTGGTGTGGGGCGATTTGTCTGCGAACCTTTATGAGATTAAGTCTCTTATTTGATTCTGGGAGGAACACAACCACTTTGAGTGAATTTATAGGGTAAACAAATTTAACCGATTTTCGTCAAGTTTCGACAAAACATTCCAGGAATAATGACAAACGAAAGAATGTCGGGAAATCTTGATATTTGAAATATTTGTTCCGTGGTGTCCATTTACACAATACGCCGCGCATATTTTTAGCTACTCAAACTTGATGCCGCTATACAGACAACCAATCAGATTATCAAAAAAGCCGGGCACACATTCGTTGATTGATGCCTTGTGAATAAGACTGTGCAGCCATTTTGCTCGTGTTGCGGCATCCGATACCCCATAAATTCAATAGCAGAACTTTCGGTCGTTTCACGCCTTACCGGCTCCTAACACTTTCCCAAAATAAAAGTCGCTTAACTGATATTTTCATAGTAATCTGTTGTTATTGAGCCTTTTTCTGATGTATAATTTGCTAGTGAAATTAGCGCGTGCAGGAATTTTTTTCCCGAAGGACACCACGGAGGTGGGAAGTAACCCTAAAATGGTCTAACTACATAATGAAAACTACAATGAAAATGATGAAATTCGAACGAAAATAAAGCGCAGGAGAACTTTACAAAATGTTTGCTTAGTAACCACAAAGTTATTTTACAGAGGAAAGTCTGGATTGAGTCACATAGTTTCACTCTAAACAACAAACATCATGGAAAGGTTTTTTCCCCCATCAGAATATTCCTGTTTGTGAACCAAACTAATTCGCTTTACTCAAAACAAAACTAAATTTAGCTCCTGATAAATCTGTTTCGTGTACTTGGAAATCATTTTTGCAAAATACTCGAAAACAACTTTCAATGGCCGGAACAACAGCAAAATGGCTAGGTTTTTTAGAGAGTTATTTTCCTCGGAGGACGGCGATTTTTTTTCATCAAAGGAAAATATATTGTTTTCCTACCTAAAATTAAGGAGATAAGAATCTCTTTTTAATTTCTCCAAATTAGTTTACTTTCTTGGTAAAGGTAAGTTATGATTATTGGGTTTGTTTTACAGCTAAGCTAACAATGATAAATTCTCTGAAAACGTTCTCCCACAAGAAATGTAAAAACTCACGTATAAGCCTCACTCATAAATAAGCTGCAACCCTAAATTTCAAGCACAATTTTGAAAAAATGAGTAAAGGGGAATAAAAACCAAAGATTCACATCCCAGGAGCGAAATGGCTTGTGTGACAAAAGGAAAGATCATATCAAATGAAATGTTTAAAACTCAAAACATTGTAGATAGGCTGCCAAATATGTGTAAAATATAGCCAAAACAGGTAAACCAAATCCCTTCAAAACATGCTAAAGCAACTGTCAAAAATGTATTACATATAGCCATATGGCAGCCTGAAAGAAATGGGAAAATCAACTTGAAGAGAAGAATTTGAATCACTCATGTGGGACGACATAATATTTCCTTACTGATATTTGGAACTAGTGCCGTCACCGATTAAAAGACTTTGAAGCCCGTTTTTTTCCAGTTGAATACTCGTATGTACGTTTCCTCTTTATTTGTGAAGTCTACAAAGGTGTATTTTCATCAAGAATGGAGCAAAAATTTTGCCAAAAAGACGCCGCTATTACACAGAATTGGCACCAGAGAGTCAAATTCACCGCAGAAAAACAAGTCGTAATTTGCACACTCGATTAACTTGCTTTGTGCCCGCTTTGAGCTAAATCGTTTTTCCATCTGATATATATATTTTTAATTTCTCTAATTAAAAGGGATAATTTAGTATGCTCATTCAACGGCAAAAGACCATCGTATCTGTTGACCCTGTCCATTGATTAAAAAACAATATCGTGATCTCAAAATGCAAGCACGCTTATTCGCCTGGTTGTGTGACTTTAAATGCGCAGTACAGAATGCGCCGTTCAATACTGGAGGAATTACCCCAACATGGTCTTACTAGAAAAAATGGTCCAATCACAAAAAAGGATCTGCCCAGATAAAATGGTCCAACTGACAAAAATGGTCAATCTGGTTAAAATAGTCCAATTGGTTGAAATGGTGAGACCAGTCAAAATTATCGAACCGAAGCCAGACAAAATGGTTCAACCAGTTAAAATAGTCTAACTAGAAAAATGGTCCAGCTCGTCAAAATGATACAACTTGTTGAAATGGTCAACTACAAAAATGGTCCAACTACCGTATTTAACCACAGATAGGCCGCACCCATGTATACGTTACATCCAAAACTTTTAATTAATATTGGTGGGAAAAAATATTAGTGAATTGCGATCAGAAGTTGCATAGCTGTCGTTATAAAAACCCATTAAGAAAGAAAACTTGCAAAATTTATAAAAGCTGGATTAGAATAAAATGACCAAGAAGCCGTAGTTGTCTTCACTTAGGCTTCCCTCCATGATCTTAAAACTTATTTTTAGAGTTTATTCTGAATATCGCTAACCAAAAATACTTCGAATTTATGCTACCCCACCACTATTGTGAATACTTTCAATTGTTTATGATCTGATGTAAAGCACGAGCTGTTGGAACAGTTAAAGTACACTGGCTGATTGATTTAATTCAATTATCTTACGTCAACATTAGCGTCTGAATCGATCGGTACCACGTATTAACTTATTTTAACTCTTAAACAGACCAGAATCTTGTGCTTTTCAAAATTCATGGAATTGACTGCTGTATATCGTGAATGTCACTCGGTAAAAAAGGAAACCTGCAGTCACAAATAAAAAATTCCTAGGTATTTCATTTCGGAGCAGGAGACTGAGAGGTTTGTTTTCAATAGCCAGCAGGAGAAAATTGTAAAGAAAATCTTCACGTCACAACGCAAATACAACAATTTGAAAAACAGAACTTTGAGCTATTATGGATAACAATGAGGTGTCAAAACGCAAAATAATTTAACTTTTTTAAGATGCTCCATTTACTTAAAATGCTCTAGCTCAATAAAATAGTCCAACTTCTCTAATTATTTAACTAAACACAATGGTCCCACTGGTTAAAATGGTCAAAATGGACTATTTGCTACTATTTAATTATTGCTTGAATGTCCATCAGTCAATATATTCTTGAATCATCTTTCTCTTGTGGAACAAGGCACTCATTAATATGGGATGCGGCGGGGGCGAATACAAATCTTCTGCAACACTACTTTCTGGCATGATAACATTTTTGTTCAATGCTATAAAATTTGTGCTCTATCAATAGCCACATGCAGTATTTTTGCCTAATTTTCTTCAAGAGATGATGGCTTTAAAGGGTTCGTGCTGGTGTCGCCAGAGCAGGAGGATCATACAAGCCAACATAGGGAGGTTTAATTTCACAGTTTTCAAATACTTTCTTAAAGATCTGTCAGCGGTGTATTCTCGAAATACTAGACCATAATCAAACCATAACCAACTCAGTATGCAGTCTCAGTTTTCACGGCAAACGTACCCTAGAGACAAAACTTCCTTCGCCCTCATCTTGTAAATGTGTAAGCACAGACTTTTCTAAGAGGGTAATCATGTAATTACAAGGAAATAAAGGCAGTCCGAAAACGCGAAGTTAGCCTCCCGTACCACCTCAGGGTGATCCAACTAGAAAGCTGATCCAATTGGTTAAAATGATCCAGCCACTTAAAATGGTCTAACGATAACTTGTTAAAATGGTCTAACTAGATAAAATGGTCTTATTATAACAGGTTAAAATGGTCTAATTAGATAAAACGGTCCAACTGCCTAAAATAGTCTTACTAGATAAAATGGTCCAACAGCTTAAAGTTGTTTTACTAGATAAAATGGTGCAACTGGTTTAAATGCCCCAATTTCTTAAAATGGTCCAACTATATAAAGTAGCTGAGCTGTTTAAAATGAACCAGCTGGTTAAAATGGTCTAACTCATTAAATTGGTCCACGGATTAAAATGATCTAACTAGCTAAAAAGGTTCAACTAAGTAAGCCACAGCAAACACACTTACAACACCGAAAACAAATACAAATCCATATGTGCTTGCCAGGAGATCTATCAAAATTGCACCACTTGGATCAATTCCATCAACTACACAAACTTTGCAACCTCACACACTAACTATACCAAAGAGCACCATCAACTGCAGCAACAACACCAAATACACAAAACACACCAAAACCAGCAACGGCTCCAGTGCACAAATTACAGCACACCTGACACAACCTGTCAACAAATCCATAGAAGAGTGAAATAGTAGTTACAAATAAGCTGTGGATTCTCAGCAAAAAGAAAATTCATACCATAGTTCCAACATTCCCAACACATTCAAAGGTGTAGTCCAGGCCTCCATCTGTCATCTCTATCAAAACCTAAAGACCAGGATTGTCAACATCAATTATAGGTGCTTTATTATTTAAATTTGTACAAATCATTTTTTTAATATTTACCTCTATAATAGTAACTACAATGGTGTGAGGATCCTTCAGTAATTGGATACCAAACACCAGAATGGATGGTCATTTACATTATGGTAATTAATATTGGTTGTAGGATTGAGTGAAGGCCTATTCGGTCTGTAATCCAACAAGGAATGAACAAAATCAATGGTGAGCCTAATTACAATATTTAAAATATAGTTTAAAACAACAGAGATCACAAAGATGCTCTTGGGAGTAAATCAAACAAACTCTATGGTCTGTCTCCCCTAAGCCTGGCACTAAACCTCTTTTTTTTCTTTGCACATTTCACCATTGACAATGGTAAGACCTATATAGTAAATATTGCCAGGACAACTCTAGTCTAATATTTCAGTTACACAATGTGAGAGGAAAGGTTTATAATTGTAACTCACTAAAGTGAATTTTAAAATTCTCTCCTTGAAACCTTTCAAAGAAACAAGAGATTGATTATGTTCCCAGAAGCAGACCAGGTTGGAATTTTTACCTTTTAATAAGCATTTTGAACCAATTTTTCAAACAATGCTAAAGCAATTTTCTCTAGAGGTTAGAATTGTTATTGAACAATAATTTTAATAATTTTCAATAATTGAAAATTAAATTGACTACTTGGGTGATTTATAACCACAGTGACTACTTGTACCTGTTGAATAGGCTTGTTGTGATCCTTGGGATTGACAAACTCGGTACAGCCAAACTCTTTGGCTGAAAGAAATAATAAATCATAAGATAAAGTTAATTAAAATTTGCTCAATTTTTAAGCACTGTGAAGATCAGTATGAGAAGGTATTGTTATAGAAAACTAAATCCATTGTCTATTACATGTACATTCCATTTAAAATTACAGGGACTAAAATTGAAAGTTTGGTTCAACATATTTTCAAAGTAGATATTCAAATTCATTAGAATCTTTTCTGAGCGATAGGTACAGAGTAGTTGAAGTAGGGAGATACTTCTAAAGCTTTACACATGTGTGCTTGATTATCACTACCACTGTATTTTTCAAAATACCTATTTTAGAGCATGCACAAGCAACCCTTTAGAACTTCTAGAGCAAGTGCATATAAAGTATGCATATTTTAAACAGTCAACAAACCTATTGGTGTTGAAATATCTTCCAAAGAACATATAGACATTGGGATTCACTGGTCAGCCCACCGTTTGCCATTCTTGTAATTTCATCAGAATGAGCTTTGTGACATGAAACCTCTTTTGATCTGACCTCTTTATGAAGGATCCATCAATTGACTGTACACCCTTCTCTGGGTGTACAGTCAGAAAATGTTGTATCACAGTTAATTGTAGAAATCCTTTGAATACTTGAATGGTCTTGTCATTTGCATTATTTAAAACTATGGCTCTGATATGAATTATTTTAACCTCCTCAAAGTCCAGTTTTTCTTGGAAGCCAATAAAATGCGATGTTACTAGGGATTTGATGCACATTAATCATCAAAGGCCAATCTGCTTGAATTGAAAACTTTTCTCCTTCTATTTGAACCAAGAGATATAATACATATCTTACCAAGCTCATTTTCTCAGCCCATGCTGTAAGTTATGGAACCTAGTTTTATCTGCTTGATTTATAGCCCATGCACCTTGGCCATAAATCCAAGTGGAAAAAACTTGGCCTGTAACTTACAGTACTACTTCCCTCAAACATGGTTAGTAAGAGATATGAATTATGAAAAGTCTTGAGCTGAATTGGGTAAACTCCTCAAAAAATGTACCTGTAGTAAATTTTTTGGGATTTAAATCAATTCCAATTATCCTTGAAGCTCCTGCTGCTTTACAGCCCATTGCCACAGCCAGACCAACAGCTCCCAGTCCCCAAATAGCTGTAGTAGATCCAGGCTCCACCTAATAAAGGGAATAGACTGAATGAGTCTTAAAAGCCACTGACCCTAAATATAGAGAGTTCAACAACAGTGGCAAAATTCCATAATTCATTTTATTACTCTTTAAGGACCCTTCTGAAGAATTCCTTCACTGTTAAACAATGAAAAATGAATAATACTTTTGAACCTTTTTATGCCACAGGATGGTGCCATTCTGCTTTGAAAAATTTATTGTGATCAATTACCCAAGTTTTATTGCATGCTAACAAATAGTTCTTTAATAGTTTTGAAAATATAAATGTCTTGTCATGTTGCTATGTTAAAGTATACACAGTGATTCTTTGTTTAATGTGCTTGGTGTTTTTTTTTTTGGCAAAGGTAAAATAAAGGTTAACTCTGAAGGCCTTTAACAAGGTCTGGTATATATATTTAGAAATCTTAATATATATCATCTTCATGCTTTATCCTTGTGGTTTAATTACTCAAATTTTCTACCTAAGCCCACCAAAAAAGTGAACTGGGACTCCAAGTGTCTCACATTGAGATGCCCTATTACAGTTAAATGTTACTCTGTGAATTATACATTCTGCCTCGTGGTGTTTGATTTTTTTCCTTTCAAAACTTGGTTTGCTTTTTTTACTGACTTACATTTTAATAGATTATATTTAAAATGAATAATTTTGGAGATACTGATCCCCTATTGAAACACAATGAAGGTGATGATGATGCTGATGCTGATGAAGATGAAGGAAATACAACAACACCTTTTCAACCAGATTATAATTCAACTCCAGCACCATCAGGTGAAGAAATTCCAATGATGAAAATGAACAAGGGAGAAGAGAACGGGTAAAAAACCACTGAAACATCCTTCATTGAAGGTACTACTACTGAATCAAGAGTCATCACTTCAAATGAGAATGCATAGGACTCCCTTACCAAAATTTATCTTGGGGCAAAGGCTTTGGAACTTGAGATTTCTTATGGTAAAACAAGAAGGTTGCAGGCAAAGATGTTTGGTCAGGGCAAGACAAATCCATTGTCGAGTGAAGAAAGGGGTACAAAAAAATAAAGGTTGAATCCATCACTCCCAAAAGAAATAAACACCTCACTTGGCCCAGAGTGGGAGGTTTTGATTGCTCTGAAGGATAATGAATTGAGGAGCTGCTGAAGTCTATTCTGGAGGATTGGGGGATTGCAGATGATGAGAATGAAGACCAAGATATGAGCGAAAGAGCAAGAGAAAGGATAATAGAAAATCAAGAGCGGATTGATGCTCTTCAGAATGAGAGGGAAGAACTTGATTATCACTCTTATAGAGAGTGAGAAACATCTTCAAGAAATACACTTTCACAGTTTCTGCTGTTGTCTTGGCAGTTGGAACAACAATTAGAATGATTGTGAGTGCATTGACAAGAGGCCTGAAGTTTGTTGTCAAAGGAGTTGGAAATGGTTTTAAGAATCTTGTTAGTAAGATTGCAGGAATTCTCCTAGGTCTCATCGCTTCAATAGTTGGCTTTGTACTAAGAGCTGCTGGGTTAGTGATCAGCTTTCTTGGTCAAAATGCATGACTTATGGTAAAGTGAATCGTCATATTCATGGTTGGGTGCTTTCAGAAGAACAAGCCATGAATCAAGAAGGCTTAGACCAGTCCAGCTGAAAACAAATCTGAGTTGAAGCATTATTCATTGGATTTGAAGGGTGAGAGGTCGGTCTGTTGATTTTTGATGAGCCCCTGTTGAGGAGCCTACTCTGACTGATTTCATCTCCAAATTCACTGATTTGCTGACTCCCAGCCTCAAGTCAGAACCTGCCTTCTTCAGGCTGTCATTATACCCACTCATAATCTGAGTGTTAAGAAGGAGATTTAAGGGAATGAGCCTAGTGCTGTGTGAAACTGCAAGATCAAGCCTGACTTTTGGCTCATCAATTGCGAGCTGAAATCTCTGAATGCTCTTTGAGATGTCTCGCTTTCAGATCACATCCTCAGCCAATACAAGGAACTCATGTTGGGCTTCCCTAGCACTTCCTGATGAACTCAAGATTGATGATATGTTCCTGACATTGACTTATGCACTGAGAAGATGATCAACAAACACCTCAATTGACTGATTCAATCTTGCCGTCCCTGCTTGCATCAAGCCTTCTGACTTGCCTGTTGTGAAAAACTAAAACTGTTTTTCAACCTTATCATTCCTTATAAAATAAATCACACTGCCTTTGATGGTTTTTCCATGCTCATCGCTGGACTCGTTAATACCAGGATAAGAGTTAAAGTTGCTGACGGTTCGACATTTGTCACATAAATGAAAATAGATTGGAGACCATGATTGTGAACATATTTGTAGTGGAAGTCTGTAACTGGTGAAGTTCCAAATTCTGTACAATTCACTTGCAAATTGCAGATCAACATCAGGGAACGATTTCACCAACATCTCTAACTTATGAGGAAAGCACACATTGCTCAACAAGATTGTCTTCATTTGAGCCTCTAGATGATAATAGCATTTTGGATTTGATCAAGAAAAGCACAATAAAGTCCTGCTCTCTGGATCCTCTACCCGCAACAATTATGTAAAAATGCTTCCCTATACTAGTTCTTATTTTAAAGAATATTGTCAACTTGTCACTCGTGTCTGGTAAGATGCTTAAAGAGCTCAAGTCTGCTATGATCAGACCTCTCCTCAAGAAATCTAATGCTGATACTGAAACCTTTAGTAACTTTCGTCCAGTCTCAAATCTTCAATTTGTCTCTTAACTTATGGAGAAAGCAGTGTTCTTACAACTCAACGATTACTTGATGCGCAATGGTTTACATGAGCCCTTACAATCTGCTTACAAAGCCTTGTACAGCACAGAGACAGCATTAATTAGAGTTCACAATATCTTACTTTCTGTAGACAGCAGTCAAAATGTCATCCTGGTGCTGTTGGATATGTCTGTGGCTTTCTACACCATCAATTACGAGATTCGTCTCCAAAGATTGCACCAGAATTTTGGCATTTGTGATACTGCCTTGGATTGGTTTAAAGATTACTTACATGATCGCATGCAATTGGTCAACATTGAGCATTTGCAGTCAAACCAGCATTAGCTATTAATAGGAGTGCTTCAGGGCTCTGTTTTGGGACCTGTTCTGTATCTGATGTATACCATACCCATTTCTGAAGTCATCAAAAAGCACAAACTAAACTGACATCTTTACACAATCAACACCAAGCTCTATGAGACCTTCAAAAATGATGACATTGACTCCATTACTGACCAGATTGCTGACTGTTATCTGACATTTGCTTATGGATGGAGCAAAATAGCTAAAGCTTAACAAAGAGAAAACTGCCATATTAATTCACTCTAAATTTTGGAATAGCCCTTCACTAGACAAGATCATCCTTGGTAATGAACAACTTGCTATGGCTAGAACAGTTACTAATCTTGGAATCATCTTTGACCAGGAAATATCATTCAATGATCAGATAAATCAACTTTGTAGAAGTCTAGCAGGTATGTCTCTGAACTATTACAGGAGAAAAAATCATCTCAAGTATTGCATTCAAGTTCTCTTGAACTCCTAGTAACACCAACATCAAGAACAAAAACATATGGAGATAGAGCATTCTCAGTCTGTGCACCAAAATTATGGAATGGCCTGCGTAACCACATCAGAAATGTTGGAACACTGCCTTTATTTAAAGGAATCTAAAAACATATTTTAGGCTCTCCACTTACACTTGCAGAGTTAAAAATTGAACTTGAAAGAAAAACAAATAGTTTTTCTGTTTATTTCTTGCTATAAATTCTTAACATATAAAAGTTCTTTGCGTAAAAGTGTCAAGATAATTTGAAAATTCTGTGAAACATTTCTTGTTCATGTTTTACCAAGTCTGCGCCAACTAAAACTTGCCTGTTGTATCAGACAAGTTTTATTTGGTGAACCATTTTTTTAGAAATTTATATCAAAAAGTTCCCATAACAACTCTGATGTCTTTGTGAGAGCTTTTGTAGAAACAAAACAACAGGTGAATTTTGTTTAAAAAACGTTTTATCAAAATATAAGTGTATTCCTGTGATTAATCACTTAACTTCAATGATTGTGACATTTTTCCTAAATTTTCTTTAAGTCTTTTAAAACTTGTCCCTGCAAGTTTCAAAAACACATTGTCCCCTTGTGTCCCTTCAAATTTGATCAAGTGTAAGTAATGTGCATCCATCCTCATTGTCAAGATTCAGTTCTATATAAGTGTCATTTTTGGTGTGTAAGGTTTTCCTGTCTTTCATTGAAACAAAATCAGGTAGATCCTTTAAGTAACAGTTAGTTCTGGGTAAGCCACCACCAACTGCAAGAAAATCACCTCAAAATCTTCAGTTTTTTTCCTAGATATTTCCTTTAACTGCACAACATCAATTCGTAATTTTAAAAACCGACCCTTGTCCATTCTGACATGACTGGAACAGTTTGAAGGAAATGAATTTGAAAAAACAGGTACCTGTCCTTAATGCCAATCTTCTTTCACTATGATCAGATAACATATTTTTGCATAATTCTGGTTACTTTTCTTCAAAATATTTAAAATATCATGATCATGTTGTTTCACACTGTTGTTTGTATGTTGTCTACGCCAAAATGCATGAGAAATTTGTGAAGTCATTTTTGAGGCAGTTCAGACTTTGAGAGAGGCAAAAATAAAGCCAAATGTTTGATCATCTCTCTCAAAATTGAAGAAATTCACATCTGATGGCTTATAGGCTCAAACTTATCTGTTGCAACAGACAAGTTTTTCTTGTCAGAAACAGGTTGGAAAAAAATAAATTTGTAACATTTCTGACATGTCACAAACAGGTTGAAAAAGAGAATTGAAACATCGATGTTTCAGATACGTCAAACAAGATTCAAATGAAATTTTTCTTTTTGAGGTCATGTCTTATGAAATCTTTAAGAATTTGAATGTCATATGTCATTCTGAACACAGTCACTTCACATATTTTACACTTATAATTCTTCTTCTCATCTCTCTTCCTCTGGCTTTTGAGTTGCCTGTATGTTTGATGAAATGGGTTTGGATACTCAAAATGTTGAATCCTGTCAAATTCAAAAGCTAATTTTAGTGTATCACAAAAATGGCCTCTCCTGATCTAATGCATATTTAATTGCCAAAGAATTTGAAATTCCGCTATCTTCCACTGCTTCCTCTAGAGTGTCATATGCTTTGCAAAACCCCATTTCATTGCTCACTTCAACCTTCTGTCTCTTGTCCACAGGATGATAGCCAAGCATTGCTTGCAATTCTTTGCTTGGAATCTTCTTTCTTTATTTTATTCTGCAGCCTTTAGCAACTTCTCTGAATTCTTTTGCGTTTACTAGAAATAAATTTGTTTCCATTTTTATGATAGGTATGAAATTTTTAAAAATTTTTTAACGCAACATAAAAAATGGAAAACATGAACAGTCCAGAATTAAGAGCTGAGGCAACAGACTCAAAAGATATTCGAGACTTAATAAGCAAGATTTGATTCAGTTGATCAGCTCCACTATCCAAATTCTTGATCAGCCAGTTTCAGAAATTGATGATCCACTCCTATCACCAACAAGATACGTCCCTGTCAAGCTGCAAGTTAATGAATCCAAACAACAAAGAAGGAATGAAATCAGAGAAATTAAGGAGATGCTCGGATTGAGAGAATTAATGCAAATAGCAAAACCTAAAGTTTTGAGATTAATGAGAGAGAATCCCAGGACAAGAGTCATGATAATTTTTAATTGTGAGATGGTTAAAAAAAATTATTCAATGAGAATGTTGAACTTCTGAATCCTTATTTCCAAGGCTACATAATTGAAAATCTTGAAGAAACAGACGAATCTGAAGAATTTGACAGGTCCATAGATATTATTCAAGAACAAATTCATAATTTTAATTAAAGAGGAAGCAACTGGAGAATTCAAAGAATGATATCTCTTGACATCCATCTTGCAGAATACACACCATTAAATGGCAGCTCTTACATTGAACTACCAAAATTCATCAAAATCAAAAATGTAGATAATCAGTGTTTCAAGTGGTGCATAACAAGAGTGCTTAATCTGGTTGAGAAAGACCTTCAAAGGATCACAATACTCCTCAGAGCACAATCTGAGCAGCTTAATTGAAGTAATGCCAACTTCCCAATGAAGTTGACTGATATAGGGAAGTTTGAAAAGCAGAATGAAAACATCGAACATGATTTTATCCAGTGAGGATCAGCATAGAGAAAAATAGAACACATGTCAATCTTCTTTGCATATCAGATGCACACTACTGCCTGATAATTCAAACCTCCAAGCATAAGAAAGTGAAAGAGTTTGCCTCACGTCAGAGTGCCAGGAACACCAATCATTTCAAAATGGATGTGATCAAAATCGAATCACAGCATTAGTAATGGTAACTGGAGTCCAATACAATTCTGTCTCTAGTCATACAAGTGATAACAAAATCTGACGGCAGCACAGCTGGAGTCGCATTTGTTTTTCACAAGTATGATTACAGACCAAATTGGACAACACAAAGTCTTATTACCATTAATTATAACTAGGAGTCTGTACACTGTTTCTATGGTGATCAAAACGAAGGTTGTGATAGGTTGATTTAAAGTACAACTTTAAATGTGATTGGCTTATTAAACTGTCCAATAAAAAACTGTCTGATAACAAACAGTGTGATAACAAGCTGTCAGATGACAACTTGGCAAGTGAAGTGAAGGTAAATAAGGGTTTTTTTTCACCAATCACAGTCAAGGAAATTGTAATTTTTAACACTAATTCAGAAAGCTCCCAAGTTTATCATTTGTACTTCCCCTACTTTGATGCAAACTAATAGCAAATAAAAACAACAGTGAAAAATTGTTAGAGATGCAAAGTGAAACCAAGTACAAACTTGGGTTTTAAAAAACCAATCTCTCACTCTTTAAATGAAAAAATTATCTCTAATACTACCTTTGCAGTATTTAAAGCTGCACCATATCCAGTTGAAATTCCACACCCAAGGAGACACACTTTCTCAAGGGGAGCATTGTCAGCCACCTAGAAGTACAAATAAAATGCTGTCTGTATTAAAAATAATAACGAAATAACAAACAAAAACAAAACAAGAAAAAAATAAAGAAAAATTTATTAGGTTTGTCATGAGATGAAAAAACAATACTGTCAAATTGAATTCAACTCTTAATGCTAATTCCCATGCCTACAAATAAGGTATAACATGATGAAATTTTAAAAAAGATAGGTGTCAAGTGATGGTCCAATATCAATGGAATCAAGTTTAGTTCAGGTGCAGTGTAATGTTCTATATGCAATATTTAACCTTGTGATATGCTTTTAAACTAAATATTGCTTCTTTAAAAAACTAGTTAGACACTTCTCTGTGTTGCATGCTTGAAGAGGGGAGTCTTGCATCATGACTTATTAAAAAAAAAAGGTATGCTGGATACTATTTACACTTTTCTGTGTAAGATGTGTGAAAATTTGTCTTGCTTCACAAAGTCAAGAAAGTGGTATATTAAATGTGTATTATGTTCTCATATCAGAAATGTTTTACAGTGAGCTGTCTCAATTCATGCCTTGAGGAGAGAGAGAAAAAATTCATGTGACATGTTTGCTTGCATTACAACTTCATGTTGATTTTAAGTGTGTACCCATGTTTCATGGGTCATCAAGTATTCATATACTCAGGCTATTGTTTAGGTTCTTGTCGGATTTCACAATGTGATCTGTGCTTGAAAATGCAACAGGCTGTCTTACTTCATGGCTTGAAGAACGGAGTGCATTTTACTAATAATGTATTGTGCTTGTTTGTGTTGCATGTCTTATAGATGCAATGTATTTGTAGATAATTTGCTTGTGTCTTCCATGCAATCAAAACATGATTTTTCTCCAAGTCTCACACCTTTCAGACAGAAACATACATTTTCCAAAGGAATCTATTTGTGTGTATTGAACAACCCTCCCCCAAGTCAAGAAACAATTTTTAAACTCCTGCTGTGAAACCATCTTTGAGAGGAAAGGTTCTAAAACCTTCAGCACACTTCTCTATTCTTGTATATCCTTCAAATGAATCTCTTTCCTAAGGGGTGAATTTAGGTGTTTGTGTGTCATGTACAATTTCTTTAAATGCCTTGCTATATACACATCCTCTAATGCATATAAATTTTCATACAAGGATTCAATCTCTGGTGGGTTTTCATCTTGTTCAATGCACCTGCCTTTGGATTGAATGATTGTACCTTTACCTTCAGCTTTGTAGATACGTTGAAGTTTTATCGTAGGTTATCACGTTCTTCAATTTCACCATTTAAGTGCTCTTCATAAATGCCATTGTTAACATCTTTCTAAAGCCCCTAAACAACTTTGAAGCTGTCCTTTTTTATTTCTATGTTGCCTTCCTTGTATGTTGGATGTAAATGGATAAATTTCATATTTCAATTTTCATCAACTCCTGCTTAAACCAATCATTTTATTCAAATCTAAATGCTTCTAATGAAAAGCTGGATTACGTTTTTGATAAGCTTGACATATTCCTTATCTTTCGTTTACCAGGACCACACTTTTCACTGATAATTGTAAGGTCAAGTTTAACAGCTTTGTGACCTGGAACATTTGAAGCTTTTGTACTAGCTTGGATGACCCAGTTTATGATTCATTTTGTTACTAAGAAATGGTAAATCCTAAAAATAACATTTACCCTGGTTTCTTTATCTCGAACACTTTTTATAATAAAGTTGGGATATTACACGCGGTGTCATTGGTTGAAAGAGCATGCTCTATGAGAGTATAGTGCATAGAGCTGAGCTAAAGCTGTCACGCCATCTGCCAAACTGTACTATGTTCGACCTTTTCCGGGACTTCCTTTTAGCTTTTTTCCGATAATTGAAAGTGAAATTTCGGAACGAGCGAGCCAGCAAGTAGCAACAGAAGAATCAAATAAAGGTTTGTAAACATACCAGGTGCCATAATTTACGTTATTAAAACAGATACAAAAATCCTCAAAGGAAAAACAAAATAGACATTCCAGGTTTTAAAGATTGATTTACCCTTAGTTAGATTGCAAGCTTACGTACGGAAATAAAAATCAAACACAGCTAACACTCATATAGTATATAAAGTTCAGTGTTAAAAAACAAAACAGAACAAAACAGAACAAAACAGAAATAATGAAAAATATAACCAAACTGGCATAACTGTTATAATTTATTCTAATCATGATGGTGTCTGAGTGAATATGATCCTGCTGAAGTCCATTGTGGCTCGCTCATCCTGGCGATCTCCGGTCATCACAGCAAGCCTCAGAAACTACATTGGCCACCCTTCGAGTGAAAAAATAAGTGCTTGCTCTGATATCCTTTCCGATGCATTGAGTGGAAAGTCACATCTGTCACTGCAGCCGAGTTTTGCAGCACTGTCATCCCGAGCGATCTTCACGTTCCGTTGAATTCGGCTGTCATTCATTCAAAAAACACTCACCCTGAACAGTTTGTTTTCTACCTTGTCATGTGAAAAAAACTCGCATGTTCTTATGAGCCATAATTCGGCTGAAGTTCACTGAACATTTCACTTCAAGATTCTGTATTAGAGACTTAAAAACTTCAGGCAAAAGTGTTAAATTCGACCTACCGAACTATTTTAGTTTGTAAACTATCACAGAAGATGAACTTTGATGGTTTTTTAACTTTGATGGTTTGACATTTTTGACAGCTTTAGTCTTGTACAGCCAATCAGATTATTTGAACAATTCTAACAGGGATTCTGATTGGCTTATTGTAGCGTGCTCTATGAGAGTATAGAGCATGCTGACGACACTGTTGTTCGCTATGGAAATAAAGTTTGTTTTGAAAATTGAAAGTAATGCTTGGGGAATTTAATGGATTCTTTATAATAAAACAAATAGAGAAGCCTTGGCTGTGCTCTGTTCTGTTATAAAGCACTTAGGAAGTGGCTAGAGCACTCAAGAAGTGGGGAGAAACACTTGACTACATCTTGTGTTTCTCCCTACACTTCTTTCGTGCTCTAGCCGCTTCCTGCGTGCTTTATAACAGAACAGAGAACAGCCAAGGCTTCTCTATTTGTTAAACGACAAAACATTAAGTTTCTCTAACACTGAAGCAAATATAAGAACCTAAATTGTTAAATAAAGGCTAAAAAATTATATTTTGATCACGATATATGTATGTGTTGATTATAGTTCACAAATTTAAGGTGCATTGATATCAAATTAACTTATAGTTGGACTGGCTTAACAAAATAAAGAAGGAAAAAGCCCTAAAAACACAGAGAAACCAGACATGCCCACAAACGTCAAACATACACAAGCCCCTTCATTTGCATAACCACTGAATTGTTTAGCATGTAAGAAGAAGAACCCTATTGTACATATAAAAAAAAACCATTCCCCATAAAACTATTAATATTATTGGTCTCATTGTAAAGGTTATTTTTTACAATTACTCGTAACTATAGTGATTACCTTTGCTACTGATATTTCAGCCACAACTGTGTACTCACTAAATGTGCTAGTACCCATAAAGTGATACAAGGTCTGGCCTTTGCATGAAAATCGTGATGTACCATCAGGCATTACACCTTTACCCTGAGTTGTTCTGAAAGCAATGAGCAAAAGACCAGTTATACATTGTATCACTTCCTGTGATTATATTACTATTCCAGTGTTTTTCAAAGCTCCCCAAACACTGCCACTATGCTTACCCTACTGATTATAAAACTCAAAAATTAACAACAAATAAGTTTACTTCATAATAATGATATTTAATCCTCAGGCTAAAATAGCTAACCAAAATATGTAATTTGTTGAGAGAAGAGCACATTTTGCTATTGATTGTTTGTCTCTGTTGACAAAATCTGTTCATAAACAAGGAGCCTTTCATTTGAAGGAGAAAAGAAATTCTGTTGCTAACAGACCAATAGTGACCATTTTGAGCTCACTTACCGAATTGTGCTGCAAAGATTTGTCTTTGGACTTTGGCAAAACTTGCACTCACCACACTGAGGTATGTAAAGAGGAATAACATGATCACCTACAAAGGAAAATGTACAAATCACTGAAAGCTGCACAACCCCTTAAAACAATACTCATGATTACATGTACCACTCAGATAAGAAAAAAAAATCAATTTCAAGATGACTTCATGGCATTTTGTACCAAGATGGGTTCTTCTGAAATATCAAGAGCCATTGTGATACAAGTGTGGTTTTCTTTGCTCTGAAAACGATTGTGATTGGCTGATTGGTAATCATAAAATTGGCCTTGCATAAATTGAAATGTTTGCTGAGTGGGATACATTTATTGAATGCAAACAATGTCCAGGATTTGTATGTGATCAGAATGTGGCTGAGGTCAGTGGTGTGATTGTGGCATGATACTTTTCAAGCTATCTTTGCTAACTTCTTTGCTATTCCAGAGAACATGTCACTACCTCTGCTAGTTGTTAATTAAAGTGCCCATAAAATGCATGTGGTTACTGGTAGTCATGGGTAAATACATTACAGTAGGTAACCTTTAAGATGTGTTTTTGTATTTTTCATTAGTCTGAAGTCTACTTTTTTCCCCTTGAAAGCAGTCTTTGAAAGGACAATATCAATAGGACAGTTGTTTCAGTTGTTTTAATTAAAAATTACAGCACACTCAGTTGGAGGGTGTCAGGAGCGACCAGTCTACATTTGGAGGGTGATTTGGTACACTTTCTGGCTAGACAGAATAAACTCAATGTGCTCCCTACTGCTCTTACCTATGCCATCTAGAACTTGGGGTGACTTGCCTTTAAACCATGCAACACATCACTCTCTAAAAGAACCCTTATCTAATAATTCCCTTTTTAACTTGGCTTACCAGGCTTGACTCTTGTGACTCCTTCACCAACACTTTCAACAATACCACCTCCTTCATGGCCAAGAACAGAAGGAAAGACACCCTCTGAGTCATGTCCACCCAGTGTGTAACTGTCTGTATGACAGACCCCAGTTGCAAGGATTTTAATGCGCACCTCTCCAGCCTTAGGAGGTGCTACCTCGACAGTTTCTATCACAAGTGGCTTCTTAGGTTCCCAAGCTACAGCTGCAAGACATGATATAGACTGAAAAACAAAACAGACATGGCAAAATGCTTGACAAAGTCCAACTAGAATCAAGTAAAGCAAACTTACATGAAATGTTCTCTTTCCTTATTTTCTTTTCAAAAAGGTTTTCAGTCCTTACCATCAGTTTGAAAACTTTAAGACTACTGAAATATTCCCATACCTACTGAGTCATAATTTTCCTTTTCGCACTGGTGGCAGAAACAATTACCACAATTCATTGTCAAGAATTCTCAAAAGTAGACAGAAAAAGGAACACAAGGGACGCCAGTATCTCACCTAGCACTCTGGGAGAGTCGCACACTAGCAAATGAGAATTATCCCAATCATTGTTTAAGAAAAAAATCTTGTACTACATAAATATTACTTAGCAGGCCAAATTATTTTAAGCTCTGTGTTATTAAGGGCAATGTAATTACTTAGTAATGTAAACAATCACTGGAAGACAAACAGCACCCTCTCTTAATAAACTATTAAGGAGTGCATGCATGCACCCTTCAAAAGTAGAAGAAAACATGGTTTGTATCTCCTGGTGGTAATGAAACAAGCACATGATAATTGGCAGGCTACAAGGATTCTAGCTGGTGGTAGTCAGCAAGCTAGACTATTTTTGGCTCTGTTTGATCAAGGGCAAGGTAACAACTCAGTAATGTAAACAGTCAGTGGAACTACAATCAGTTCACTCTCTTGGTCTGCCCATCAGGGAGTATATGCAAGAACCCTTCCAAAGGAAACAGAGTTTGTGCTTCCTCTAGTAATCAATTTTCTAAACCAAAATTTTACCTTCCCCTACCACTAACCCTGATTTATTAAAAAAAGGGTCAACTTGCAAGACAATCTATAAACTTGAGAAAGCCAGCTCTTGAACTGAGTTCTTTTCTTAAGTAGTGAGGGTGAAATAGGTGAATCAAAATCAAATAAAACAAACCAAAATATAGAGAGGATGACAAACATTTAAAGCATAAGTTGTGGTTGGAAACCTCATTGGCCAGCGTAGCAGTGATTGAGTACATAACAAGTGATAGTAGTCTATTCCCAGACTAGTGATCATACTGAGGACCATATTGATCAATAAGAAGATCAGTTCGTTCTCATTTCATTTGGGGAAATACTCTACTAAGCATGAGACAAAAAGTAGATCAAGTGTCAGTCACTGGACAGGTACCATCTTAAAAACACTTCATACGGCTGCTCATACACTACAAAACATTTCAAGAGTTAAGAGCTTGAAACCAAAATTTCAGGAAGATCCATGATATTTAATAGCCCCTGTATGAAAGAGAAATTAAAAACAAAAAGCAGTATGTAGAAACTTTCCGCTCAGATGTAAACAAAAGTGGTACACAGTGCCTGGACCGAATGGGTGGAGAGAGGTAAACCACAGAGACTTTGTGGCCATGCGCTTAAAAGGGCCACATGCAATCCATGCAGTATATATGTCGGATGCGGCAACGGAAAATCTCGGCAAGAGCAAACTTCAGAGATTTCTGCAGGAAGCCGCATTGAAATGAGAGTAAGGATAATGTTTTCAGGCGCAAATTGTGCCTCCACTAGACCACAAAAAAATTTAGAGGGAATATTTTGTCAACTTGGCGCACAAGAGGAGTCTACACAACACAAAGAATATCGTTCCAGCAGGACACCAGCTCACCAGATTGGGAAGTTTTGGAATTATCTCACCTTTCCTTCCGTCCCAGACATTCTTTTCCCGCGAAAACACAAAATTGGTCTTCCACAGAAACTGATGGCTTCTTATACGCCAGCGAATGAAGCAATCGAATACTCCCACGAGACAAAGCTGAGATTGGATTGTCACGTGACAACTTTGACCAATGAAATCTGTGAATACGCCTCTTAGCGCGCCCCTTGGCGAGCTTTGTTAATTTATGACTAGCCTGCAGTACATACGTGTTATAACAATAAGTTATCGTAATGTGATCGTTTATCAGGCCGGCCATGTCTGATGTAGACTTTTGACCGTCAATCACCCTCTAGTAAAAATTTCCTTCTCTTCCCAACGTTCTACTGCTGAAAAAATTTAAGATGGCAGCTACAATCACGTCTAATTTAGTGTTAACAACTGCGTTGAAATTTGACCATCGGACGTTTCGAGCGTTAGCCCTTCGTCAATTCCTCTGACGAAGGGCTGATGCAATTATCAACGGCCATCCCGGGGGGGGTTGACCCCGAAGAACCCCCGTGCATTTGCACCAAGACATTTGCAAATGCCACGTACCCAGGGCCAATATTCTTCCACAAAAAACTACCACTGTCCCTCCCCCGTGGAGCATAATTTGAAAGGACTCACAAATTATAACATAATTTCCTGCATAATTTTTAAAAAAAGTTTAACGGTGATATATACAGTAAGCAAAAATAGCTAGTCCACCTGTTTTCTGCACACAGCGAGGTTCAGCTTTATACCTTGTAAGTCATAGAATTGCAATTTTAACGAACATACACTTACTTCGGCCTGTGTTTACTACACAGGGCTATACAGGGCTCTAAGTCGCTTTTTGCCGGCGACTAACTGGAAAAAAGTTATCGCAAATACTATGTTTTTTACGTCTCTGTCGGTCTCAATTTCGAACCTTATCAAATTACTTGCAATTGAAACAAACCATTTTTTTTTTATTTTCCTTGATTTTGCTTTCGAAATCTTCACGCAGGGTCCATGGTACCAGATTTTGCATGCTTTGCCTTGTTTCTCGCACATGATCATGAATCTGTGAAAAAGATGGCGGCGATGTTGCAAATCCCGCGGGTCTTTCCCCTCGTACGTTGCCTCGGAAGTGCAAAAGTGGTCCAATGCCCCCGTCCCGGGCCAAAAACTGGCGACAAAAGTCAGCAAATCCCGCGCTATTCTCCCGTATGTACCCGGGGTACCCTGGGATGGCCGCTGATAATTGCATAACGCTCGAAACGTCAGCCTTTAAACTCTTTACGGCGGTCAATTTACTTTTTCAACTCAATTGTTAACACTAAATTACCAGCTATTCTCTCCCACCGACGCAGCACAATTTCTTTAGAAACTTACCCCTTTTAAATAATCATGTCTGCCTCGGAAGCTATCATATGACCAAGTGATCATGTTTACAAAGAAAAAGTAGATGTATGTTACATTGCAGGATATGGTGGAAAACAGCGGAATAATAATATGGGAACTACCATATCTTCTCATAAATCTGTATGTATTATACTGTTTAAAGCTATCAGGTACACTTTGCTGTTATGCGTCCGACTTTTCTTTTGAACCTGTGCGTAACGACGGCAAACCGTCGTGCTTTGCGCTCGACTAAACGGCGGCCTTCAATAAGACTACACTTGTATTTCCGGCATTTTCTTTTGCGTAGTCCTTCTTACTGATAATGCGCATTCAAAATCAGTGACTACAGGCGTCTTGCCTATTTTACTCTTTCCTATTTATCATATCAAACTTTTGATCACGTAGGAGACCGAAATAGACTGCTCTTTTGACCTTGTATTTTAATTGACTGGTTTTTACCTTTATTTTTTTTAGTTGTCAAATAACAAGGCTTAATAATGGGAAATCCTTGTAAAACTTGATGTGTTTTCGTCATGAGATGTGGCTTTCAAATCAAATATTGCTATCTTTACTGAATCTCATGACTCGGCTTCTAGTTGTCGAAGGTAAAACTGCAACCGTGGCTCTTTGCCAGTAGCAAGATGACAATAGTATAATGACACAAGTCTCTCTTAAAATATCTCTAAAAACAAGTAATTTATTCGTCCATTACATCCCTCCATGATGAAGTCAAGGCTTATTCAGTCAAATGATGCCTGCCTGTCCTCTGGTGGCAGTTCAGGAGGAATACGAACACCTAGTTGTGACCGACACAAACACTCGTGCAAAAAAGAACTGAAATGCTAATAACCCTCTACCAAAGAAACCTGTGTTCACAAAAATCCTACAGTCAGCCTTTGTGAGAAAGCCTTGTGTAAAACATAGGATCAAGGAATGTTGTGAAGAATAAGATTAAGTTTTAGGGGTAGAGGATTTTAAATCTAATTCAGTGCGTTGTGCCAGCCAATGTGGTCGTCCGTTCGTAGACTAACTCATGGGCGAAGATCAATTTCATCTTCCCATGGAGCGAAAAAGGGGACAGACCCAAAACTTGATACGGAGTGAAAAGAAAGGTAAGTAGGTTATCCTGATGATGAAGTATATGAAATCAGTGTCAGATTGTCCAAGTATGATCGCTGAAGTAATAGTTGTCACCAGAAAAGAGATAACCCTGAAGTTCTGGCAATGATTATTATCGTTATTATTGTTATAAACGTGACGAAGAATCTCTCTATAGCGATCTCACTGTACGGATGACTAATTTGAAATGTTTTCAGTTTCGAGTGGAAGACAGGTCTTATCAAGGCGATTGACCACGCAAGAAAGTCATTTTTGTGTGTGTGTACTACAGACGTATAAAATTTCTCAATTAGAGAGATAAAGAGGTTGCATTAATTACAGAGCGTTGATAAATTAGTAATCATGTTGTGTTGCAACACTTGAAGGGCGTGGCAGTTCTTGCTTGACGCCTTGAAATACTGCCACTTTACAACAGGTGATTCGTTCTTATTGAAAAAAAGAAATCCATTCTCATGCAAGATGAAAACTTCTATAACACCATAAACCCTAGCACTAATGTAAAACCTTCGATCCTATTTTGCTTGTCACTTCATTCTTATTTGCTCTACCACTGAGGTTTTAGTTGAGAAATATAAAACTCCGTTAATTGACGATAAATTATTTCCATTCTCTTAAAAAATATTAATTCAGATAGGCGGCGTCATAGATTTGTTTATCTCTTGCTGTTTTAAATGAGGTTAGCAATTAAAAACATAACTTCGATGGATAGATATTGGTGAAAATCAACTCTGACTTTTAGTTGAGTAATAGAACATTAATCTCGAGCTGAGCTTGATTGACCTCTGGTGTACTAAGTGCTAGGGTTACTTTAATCTTTTGATACATTTGCCTTTCTGTTAAGGGGTGTGGTAGAACCTGTTAGGTACCAAACATC